GCATTTAGTGATAACATTAAATTTAGGAGTTTAAAGGTAAACCTTACCATAAGCAAATAGTTGTCCACTTATTGTATAAGAAATAAAAAGAAAGAATTAAGCTTAATCTTAAATGTGAATAATAATTAAAGACCATAAAAGAATATACTAAAGCATCTAAATCTTTGTCTGACTTTGCAAGTGTTAAATACAATGCTAGGAAGAGGAGTTTAATATCAAAAAACTTACTCCCAAAGCTCACTAATAATCCGTTCTTTGAGGAAGAGACAGATGATATCATAGCAATTAATGATATTTCATGTGAACTATATTTTAAGCGTGAGGATTCAGTTAATGATTTTTTCTTAGGAAAGATCAATATTTCTCAATTATTCTAGAAATATCAGAATGAATCGCAAGAAATAGAGGTTTACTTATTGAGTCACATATTCATGAAATTTTATCTTTATCCTCGATTCTAATGCTAGCCTCTGATTCATATTCAACTGTCATAATTGATCTTTTTGGCTCGCCATTGTTTAATCAAATTTACAAAGAACTAATGCTAACTCAAATTGTATTGGATCCTACATGCGAGAAGTATCAAACTAAAAGAAAATTTCAAAATAAATTTGATTTTGCCTTCATAGCACTGAAAAACAAAATACATAATACTAAAATTAGTAAATTTACTGATCCAGCTTTAGAAGAGGATGTTATTTCAGATAGTAAAGCAAAAAAGACTAGAGGATGGAAATTGAGAACTAAAGCTATTTGTGCCTTTGATTCTATTTCATCTACCAAATCTTTTAAAGATATCTTAGATTTATTATATATAAGAGAACTAGTCTTAAAATAGAGAAAATAAAAATATCTGATCATGTTCTTAAATAATTATTTAACTTTATTTAGTCTTAAAGGAATCTTTTTATATTAGTCAAACAAATTATTATAATATCTTATAATTTTTAAATACTAGAAAATAATGCCTTTTCAGACTCTTTTATATAAATTATCATATTTTTATAGTTTATGTAGTTTATGCATATTTTTTTAAGCCTTTTCACTAGTTGAGCTAGAAAAATTAGTAGATTTATCAGTTCTTTAACTTTTAAAGTCTTGCTAAAAGTTAGGATAGTGTAAGTCTTTCCATGTAACTTTATTCAAAATTAGTTTTATTCAGGTTAAAAATACCTTGAACTTTTTAAATTTATATTATACTAAATATAGTATTAGTTCAGATTCACAATATGAGTAAAATTTTTAGTAACTGTAATAACGGTTTTATCATCCTTATCTTTTATATTTACTAATATATTTATAAACTATTATAATAATTCAGTATTATATTTGAAGTTACCTTTTATTGTGAAGTCTGATAAGTTACAAATTGTTAAATCATCTATTTTAGTATTTAGATATTGTAAAAACAAAAACTACTCATCTGTCTTTGATTTCTTTTTTTTCTTTTAAACTTTACATAATTAAATATTACTTGACATTGAAAAATATGTAATCTAAGGCAGAATGGACTCTGGATCGATCTATCCACTACTTCGACAT